TTTTTTTTTTTTTTTTTTTTTTGGTATCCCTGGCACTTAGCACAGTGCCTGGAACTGTAGATGTTTAATAAATAGCTGTTGACTGACTGACAGTATTTATTCTCTTTATTATGTGTGTGTGTATTTGTTTCCCTCATTAGAATGTAAGTTCCCTGGGAGTAGGCATTGTTGTATTCATTGTATTTGTATCCCCAGTGTCTAGCACAATATCTGGCACACAGTAGGTGCTTAATTAATTATTTGTTTGTTAACTCAATTTCTCAAAAACGTTTAGAGTATATTCTTAAAGAAGCGACTAATCAATCTCTAGAGAAGATGTTAGGTCTTTTTCAAAAACAAGGTAGGCCAGACCAACCCCATACCATTGATGAGAGTATTAGATTGGAAGATCAGAGGAACGCTATACCTAGACTTCAGTAAAGCATTTGATAATATCTCAATCAACAAGGAGGTTCCCTGGGGTCTCAGGTGCTCCCAGCCAATGTTTCAAAAACTACCTTTATACTCCCTTTGTCTATCTGGTCCAGAATTAGGTCTCAGATCAATCTATCTGGGAGCAAAGTTAACCCCAGTTGCCATATATATGCACCAACACTTGTTTGCTTATAACTGCCCTGACTAGTGTTGGTAGAGTATGTATGGAGGGGGAATGAGTTCACTGTAGTCCCTAGTTTCACTGTTATCCTGAATCATAATATTAGTCATAACCTTACTTACATTCTTCACAAGGCAATTTAAGTCTTTATCTTTATACCACAGTTAATTTTCTTCTAAAACTGCTTAAATTATATCTGAATACTTTCTTCATATATCTATTTTCACAGTTTTTATTAAATAAATTCTTTTCCTTCTCCTTTGAGATATCAAAATATTCAGCAATGACAGAGACATATCTACTTTAGCAATTAATATAACACTTTTTCTACCCCCTTTAGCACTAAACTATTCCATATGAAAAAGGCAATACCTTAAAAAGAAAGTACCTTACATTAGGCTGCATTGAGAGGAATAGTATCCAGGAAGGTAAGGGAAGGTGATACAGACTGTGCTGTGGTCAGATTACATTTGCTGTGCAATGTTCCATTCTGGATATTACATTTAGGGGGAAAAAAGTTGATAATCTAAGGAGTGAATTGCTTTGAGATTATTCCACCTTTAATAATTTAAGGAATGGGGCATTCTTTAGTTGAAGAATAGACATGAAAAAATTAAGGTGGGATATGATAGCTCTCCATAGGTATTTAAAGAACTATCTATGGAAAAAGGGTTCTTGACCCCAGAATACAGAAGAAGAAACAATTAGGTGGTAGAAGTTTGGAGAAAAAGATTTTAGTTCCATGTAAAGAAAAACTTACTAACAGAGCTGCATAAAAGTGGGTTGCCCTGGAAATAGTAGTTTCACTCTCACTGGAGGTTTTTAAATAAAAGCTGGATAGCCACTTCTGAGAAGTATGAAGCAATATGCTATACCTGTTAGACCAGGAGTCAGGAAGTTGTTGTTGTTGTTGTTGTTGAGTGATTTCAGTCATGTCTAACTCTTCATGACCCCATTTGGGGTTTTCTTGGCAAAGACACTGGATCAGTTTGCCATTTCCTTTTCCAGATAATTTTATAGATGAGAACTCTGAGGCAAACAGGGTTAAGTGCCTTGCCCAGGAACACACTGCTAGTAAGTATTTGAAGCTGGATTTGAACTTAGATCTTCCTGACTCCAGGCTCTGCATTCTATCCATTGTGTCACCTAGCTGCCCTAGAGTCAGAAATACCTGTATTCAAATCCTTCCTTTGATACTCTCTGTGGGACATGAGCAAGTCATTTAGACTCTTTGAACCTCAGTTTATTCATCTGTTTAATGGGGATAATATTAATAGTACTGCCTCCCTCAGGTTTATTGAGACAATGCATATAAACTTTTTAGAAACTTTAAAATATATTTGTCAATTATCATTATTACCACCAAGTACCCAGTTATAGCCAACTGGAATACCTCCCTGGCACCATGGACAGCTGCTCAGTCCATAAACATATTGTAAAATTACTGGGCACCCATGAATCTCATAATTTTGAATTTTCTAGTATCATTATGGTTTCTATTTGAGCCAGTCTTAACTGAAATAATTTAATCTTTAGAAATGCAGAGAAAGTTATAACATTGAGTCCATGAGTACAACAATGGTTTCCATTATCACTATAGTCCAATTCAAAATAATTTAGTCTTTAGAAATTAAGTAAACTTCCTGAATGTTTTCATTCTGGCAAATTAAACTGTGAAGTCAAAGATTAGGAACTGTTGGCCAGATACAAGAAGAAGGTACAGTCCAAAAAGTTACTTAAATGTGCACTTTGAACACCCAATCCTCAGCTCCATATGTTCTTTTTCTGAGTTCTCATCTACTTACAAGTTATATTTTGCTTTTATCAATGTCTACATACAAATAATATTAGTGCAATCTTTGTTATTAGCAAATATTACAAAAATAAAATTAAAACTTAGAAAATTCCTCTAAAAATCATGTAGGAAAAAGAAAACTGGACTATGAGTCATGAGGCCTAGCTTTAGTCTAGGCTTTGAGATGCTGGTACTCTGTTAAGTCACTTGTCCTACCTGACCTTTAGTTTTTTTTTATCTGTAAAATGGCAGAACTGGTCTAGGTGAACTCAGAGGCTCCTGACAACTCTGATGTTCTATGGTCCTCAGGTTACTAACCAGTTTTTATTTCCACCTTTCAGTGATTAATAACCATAAGCAGACTAGCCACTCAGTGCTTATGATATAATAGACCTGGTAGGATGTTTTTCTGCAATATTTTAGGACCATCTTTAAACAGTTCTTCTGTAGAAAACCATTAATTGGAGTTGGTTTGGGCAGCAGAGTTGTTGACTTAAATGTATTCCTGAACTTTTTAGCTATAATACTTTTGTTTTCTCGCTAGGCAACAGAAGCAACAGTATACAAACCAACTTGCTAAAGAAACAGATAAGTACATAAAAGAGTTTGGATCTCTGCCCACCACTCCAAGTGAACAGGTATCAAACTTTTAGACATGTTGGTAATGTGCTTACAATAAAATAAATTATTAAATTGTATTGTGATCTATTTTAATAGTATATTGGCCACCATTTTTTTTAAGTGTTGTTGCAGGTTAGTTCACAAAGGAAAAAAAAATATTTCTAAGCAGTAGCCTTAATCCATAATTAACCATATGCATGATGCTTCCTTTCCTGGTTCTCCAAACACTTTGTTATTCAAGATTAGAGTATTCTTTTCTTTTTCTATATTCTTTTGTCTATATAATGTGGAGTTTGGAAGGTGTCACCAAGATAAGTTTATTGAGTGTTTCTCTTGAAGAAAAAGGTGCTTAAACAATTTTGTAGTAGTCAAAAATTAACCACAACTAGCTTTGCCTAGAACATTTAAGTTTGGAGTTTTACAAGTCATCTCATTTGATCCTCACAATAAATCTGTGAAGTAGATGCAATTATTATTCTCATTTTCCAGATGAGGAAACTGAGACCTCAGAGTAAGTAATTTGCCCAGGAAAAAATGGCTAATAAGTGTCTGAAGCAAAATTTGAACTCAAATCTTCCTGACTCCAAGTCTAGAGCTCTATCCATTGTGCTGCCTAGGGAAGGAGAAGGGAATAAACATTTATAGAGTGCCTACTGTGTGCCAGACACTGTGCTAAGCATTTATATAAATATTATTTCATTGGATCCTAGCAACAACCTTGCCATTGTTATCACTGTTTTACAGTTGAGGAAACTGAGGCAAACAGATTAAATGACTTATGCAAGGTCACACTCTAGTAAGTGTCTGAGGCCAGATTTGAACTTATGTCTTCCTGGTTCTAGGCCCAGCACTCTATCCAGTGTTATACCTAGCTGCATAGTAAGCATCGGGCAAGAAATCCAGCAACCCGGAAATGCATTGCACATGAGGATGCTAATAAAAACCATTCATTCATTTCTTCATTCAACAGTTACTAAATTCTTAGTTCATACAAAGTAATATGCTAGGTGCTGGGGACATTTCAAAGCTAAACAATGACCTGTCGCTCTTAAGAATTACTTTGTATTTTGCCAATGGAAAGTGACTTCATTAGGTGACTAATTATGAACATGGAAATAGTGAAAAATGAAACAAAACAAAATGTTAGCACATCTTGTAGATTGGACAGCTTAATTCTAGTAAACCTATTTTTTTTTCTTCAGCGTCAAAGGAAAATACAGAAAGATCGCCTAGTTGCTGAATTTACAACTTCACTAACAAACTTCCAGAAGGTCCAAAGACAAGCTGCAGAAAAAGAGAAAGATTTTGTTGCCAGAGTACGAGCCAGTTCCAGGGTCTCTGTAAGTATCTGAAAATTCATGGTTAGAATAAAAATATCATAATCCTTTCTAGGGATTAGACAGTGTGTATATCAGTTCTTAATCATTTTGTGTTTGACAAAAATATTCATTTGTTCAGAAAAATTTTGTTGAGTGCCTGCCATATGCACAGTGAAGATTTTGGTGAATCCATTCTTTGGCAAGTTGTCAAATTCTGAAGCATGTGGACTAAGTATATCCTGAAAGCAGAAGCCTTTCATCTTCCTTTATTTTTACCTCTTTCTGACCTAATTATAGAATCAAGAGAATAGAATGCATTTTATAATTATTATGTCTGTTCCTGTGTCAGTACACTTTAGAATTCTTCAAATAGCCTGCCCTTCATGGAGCACCTCCTTCTTGGAGATCATACAACCCAAAACTTGAATTTCACAGTGAAGTTTTCTGCATGTAGCCAATGATGCTAATATCTGCCTATCTGGTTGTGTGATTATTATTCTTTGAGGTTTTGGATGCAGAAATTTTGACTTTATTGTCTTTTTCTGAGTGTGTGTTTTGACCTTCGTTGTGACCGTAGTAACTTTCCATGGACAATTTTTTTTTCTGTTGTTTGCTCATTTTACAGCCTATTTCCTAACTTTTAACTCTATGCTAAAGTGAGGGCTGTGCTTCCCAAGTGGAGGGGGCACTATCCCAAGCTTCAGGTTTTTTGTGCAGCTGTCTTCCGAGGTAATTCTGGGGACCTGTAAGTTGTTGGCTCTTCCAAGGTGGTCTGATCTAGGGAGAGGTGTGTTTACTTCTCTCCTGTACTGTGTACTGGTTTGTGAGCGACCACAAGCATTCTTTTCAATCCTTGAACTGTGACCAGGGTCCCTGCTTCCTTGGGGCTGCAAGATCTGCTCTGCTAGGGCTCCACCTTGCACTGGGACTAAAACCCACGACCGCAACCCAGATCCAAGAATAGGCAACGCAATAGAGTGCTGCCCCTGGTGCCAGTGAAGGAACCCCTGTAAATCTCCTTCTGACCCATTGATCGATCCCTTTACCATCTGTGGGAGGTCTGGAAACTGCCACTGCTCCCACTGATTCAGTCACCCCTGGGCCCACTCATGGTTTGCTGGGTCCCAGTCTGTGCTGGCATGGCCTGCTCTGGACTCTGTTCCTACTTTCACCCTGGTGCAACAGACCTTTCCTGCCAACTTTATAAGTTGTCCTGCGCTGAAAAGTTGTTTCGTTCTGTCTTTTTGTGGATTCTGCCACTCTGATGTGATTATTATGAAAAGTTTTCAAGTAAATTGAGCAAAGATGTTACATAGATACAAATGAAATTAATATAATTGTGAAGAATGTTTTTGATAGATTGGGAATCCAAAATAAAACTACAAACATTTCAGAGTTAAACTGATTTTAAATTACCTTAAAAAGAAATAGAACTAATATTACCAATGATGATAATGGTTTCAAGGGAGTACTCTATATTTAGCAGATTAGTATTTATCATTTGTTCTACATAGCATATGTTATGAATACATTGCTAAGTTAAGTTTTTTGTGTTTCTTCTAATAGCATGGCAAATTTAAAACAAATTCTGTTTTATAACACCATATGCTAAGTATCTGTTTACAGTAACTTTCATAATTTTATCAAGAGAATTATAACTTTTTCTTCCCTCTTCTCTTTTTTTCTTCTCCTTTTTCCCCTTCACATTCCATGTTATCATTAAATCACACAGGGTGGTTTTCCTGAAGATAGTTCTAAAGATGGGAATCTTGTGTCTTGGGAAAGGTAAATGAGAGCCCTGCCATTATGTTAATTAAAAGATATGTTCAAATTTGTAACTGTTGTAGTGAAAAGAAACCCTCTGAGCCAAAATTAAAACTTTGAATGTAACATCTTACAAAAATGATAATAAATTTGAAGACAAGTGTTGAACATTAATTCCTTAAAGAAAAAAATTTCAGAACAATTGTCATCTTTAAAACACTTGGATGGGGGCAGCTAGGTGGCACAGTGGATTCAGGAAGACCTGAGTTCAAATCCGGCCTCAGATACATAACACTTACTAACTGTGTGACCCTGGGCAAGTCACTTAACCCCATTGACTAGCCAAAAAAAAAAAAACCAAAAACAAAAACACTTGAATGAAAAGTATTTTGGTTTAGTGGAAATTTGTAAGGTCAAAGTAAATTATCGTTGACAATTTGTAACTGGTCTTGTTTTGTTTTTAAATTAAAAAAATATTAGATCTACAATGAATTAAATCAGAAGAAATATTCAGTTTTCAAATATACTTCTTAGAATAGTAAAAATGAGACTAAGATCAATATGGATTGAAACAGCATAACATGTTGTCAGTGGAAAGATTAATTTGGCATGTTTAATGTTTACATTATGTTGAGAAAACTTTCACATAAGCAATTCTAAACCATCAAATCTTCATACATAAAATATGAGTCTAATTAGTTTTTTTTTTTTTCCCCCTAAACCCAACCTGTGTTTTCCCTCCCTCTTTCTCTAGTCACACCCAACCCCAAGCTCAGCTGCAGGATGAAGACATTACAGAAGATGATCTCCGCCTTATTCAAGAGAGAGAATCTTCCATTAGGCAACTTGAAGTAAGCTATGCTGTCCTCTTCATCCATAAGAGCCAAGTACACTTACAGTAAGGTCTTCCCAGGGCTGTTTTAGTGCCTTAAAAATGGACAGTGAGTTGAGAGAAAAGGACAGAAAATTATGTCAGGAGAAAACGTAAATAAGTCACCTTTTGAAGTATAGACATTAAAATCATTCCTTTTTGAAGAAATGGACTGTATTTCTTAGAAAAGCAAGCTGTACTTAGACAAAAGATGCAAGGCCATAGGGCATTTATGGAAAAAAAAAGGCAAGGGTCAAGTTATTGGATATTCTTTAGTCAGCTAAGCACAGTAGTCCCTAGTGATTTAGAGCCACAAGAAAATAATTGTGGGGAATACATGCAAAGGGAGAGTCTATGGATTCTGGGTGGTTCCTAGTATCATATGACCTATACTGGGTGACTTTGAATCTGGAACTATATAATTCTTCTGTTACTTCATATATGTATATGTATATGTATATGTGTATGTATATATATATCCTCATACTGCAAATTATTCTATACAATGGTGTCTTATATGTGTATATAACTTAGGTAGAAAAAAATATAAAAATTTCTAAGTGGCCTCGGGTGGAATCTACAAATGTTAGGAAGGTAGAAATGAAAAATTACATAGCTCTGATTCTCCAAAAATGTATTATCAAGTAATGACAAATTGGGGCACAGAGTGGAGAATAAGGCATTTGTATAAATAAACATGATTCGGAGTAGAACATTATATAGACAGAAGAGAGTTCTAGAGAGTGCTGTGAGAATTTTGAAGAAGGAGAAGGGGAAAATCTGATAGGGAGAGGCCTTAAGACAGGGGTGGGGTAACTGTATCCTCAAGGACACATGTAGCACTCTGGGTCCTCAAGTGCAGCCCTTTGACCGAATCAAAACTTCACAGAACAGTCCCCTTAATAAAAGGATTTGTTCTGTAAAACCTGGACTCAGTGAAAAGGCCATACCCAAGGACCTGGAAGGTCACATGTGGCCTTGAGGCCTCGGTTCCCCACCCCTGCCTTAGGAGAAGCTTCCTGTAGGAACTTATATTTGATGTGGACCTTTAAAGAAGGGAGTATGTGGGTTTAGGTGCCCTCTACTGGACTAAAATAAATATTCTTGTTTGGAAACTTTAAACAATTAAAAAGGAATGGATTATCCTATGGGACATTTGATAGCTCTGTGATGACTGAAGAAATCAGAAGACATTTTAGTGTCTTAATTTTATTAATAATAAATGTCTAAAGTGCTATGGAAGATATCACATAGAGAATAGTATAATAGAAAGAGCACTGGACTTTGAATTAGAGGACATGGCCTCAAATCTCATCTCTGCCACTTCCCCTCTCCCCTCCTCCCCACTCCCGGAGTTTGAATTTGGGCAAATCATTTATCTTCTGCATCTCTATTTTTTTCACTTGTAAAATACAAAGGGGGATTAGATGATCTGTAAGGTTCCTCTTAGACCCAAAATGCTTTGTAAACCTATATAAATCTGAACTATTAGGATCATTATTATGATGATGATCCTATAATGAACTTTTATGTTTTAAATATACCAATTACCTTAAAATCACTTGATTTAAAATACTTGTAGATCCTATTTCCTTATTCTTAATTCATAATAGTAGCATCTGTCTTAGAATCAGCAAGACTTTGATTCAAATCTTACTGTTGATACTAATTTTGTGACCCTGGATGAGTCACTTAGTCTCTGTGTGTCTAGGATCTAAGCAACCTGTGTTCTTAGAGGGAATTCCCACATGGATCATATCCTAGATTATTTGCTTTTGCATCTCCAACGACAACAACAATGACCACAAAGCATTTATTAACCCCCACCATCTGCTAACCACTAGGGACACAAAGAAAAGAAAAAAATAATTTCTGCCTTCAAGGAGCTCATAGTCTAATGGAAGAGAAATCAGGCAAATAACTATGTATAAACAAGATATTTATACGTCCTTATTAGTACAAACAATGAATCCTCTGAAATGGTTGCATATATTTGAATGTACACTAATCAAAGTTATAATTATGTAAAATATGACAATTGATTCACACAAATCAGGACCTTGATACACACACACACACACACACGCACACACACAGAGTAAATTGACTACAATCTCAGAGGGAAGTTGTTACATTAATATAGTTAACATGGATAGATATAACCCACATTAACGAAAGCTCTGTGGGGTCTTCAATAATTTTAAAAGTGTAAAGGTATCCTGAACCAAAAAGGTTGAGAGCTGCTGTTCTAGATACTATGCTTTTATGATTGAAAATGAAGACGAACGTCACTTTTTTTTTTGCTCTCTTTTTACATTATTGATTTGTGTTGGGCTTACAATGCCCAACAAACAAACAAAAAAATCAACCCTAGATCTTTTTCCTTTGAACTGTTATCTGACTGTGTTTTCCCCATCCTCATCATTCAACTTATTTGTTTTTACTCCAAGGGCATCACACCCTGGTCAGGAAATCCAAATCTTGTTCTCAAACAACATATTCTTAACTAGCTGTTCCCTTCATAAAGTGCCTTTTTGAAGCCTCTATCTTCATTTGGCAGTGGTGAAGAAAACACCACCTGTGTGACCTTGTAGTCTCGGTTTCATCCTCATAACTTTATAATCCTTTAATAGTGCTCTCCAGATTTCTTTTGGCAATATCACTTATCCCCATGTGAGTCATCAAATTGGGTACTGGTTATTCCATTTCAGAAAAATTGTCATGTTCTTTATTATGTCCCAGAAATGTACCCTCATTGAGAAAGGCTAATCATCAGTTGCTGAAGTCAGTAAGGATAGTGGTAGGAGATGGGTATGTCAAGGAGATCATTTGATAGTGAGGTTTTGAAGAGAGTTAATATAAGTAGGCAGGGACTGCAAAGAGAGCAAAGTTCTTGGATGACAGTGGTAAAACAAGTTCTAAAAAGGGTATAAGAGATAAAGGAGTAGGGAGACTGCTATATTTCTGCCACTGTGCCAGTGACAGAGGGGTGGCCAGATGGGAGCTTTCTTTTCCTACCTCATCAGGCCACTGGAAAAAATCCCAAGAATTTGTAGTCCTGAGGCTGGTGAATGACATAATTTCCTGTTCCTTTTATCTTAAAGCCAGATTTTATTTAAGGAAAAGGCATGGAGGTGAAACTCATGGACAAAGTTTGTGATATTAGATAGTTTATCATAAAATAGTTCTAGTGAGCATAATGGAAGGGGGAAAATGGAGGAGAGGAATAAACTGAGTGTATGACTGAGAGCATAATGTGAGCAAGCTGGGGAAGGATTTCTTTTTCTTTGCAGAGAGTAGCAGTTGTAAATGATAAAGACAAAGGGCATAGGAGTTTGGAGATAAGTGGAAAACTTCTTAATGATAGAGATAATGATAGAGAAGGGGAAGCAATGGGTATTAAACAGAATCCCAAGAATTTCCATCATAGGTAGTAGGATGGTGCGTGCAACATGATAAAAACCGTAAACCAATACCTCAGGAGAATGAGCTCTGATGATGAGTGGCTTCTCAATTATTCAGTACAGTAGTAACTTCTTCTCTGAAGTTATCTATGCTATTACAGATTTGAAGCATATACTGATATGAAAATGTGTGTTTATGTGTATTTTGTGGGGGTGGGGCAAGATAGTAGGAATGGGGTGGTATGAAGGTCTTAGTTTCTGCTACTAACCAACTACTATATTCTTTCCCCATCAGGCTGATATTATGGATATAAATGAAATATTTAAGGATTTAGGAATGATGATTCATGAGCAAGGAGATGTGATAGGTAAGCACATGTAATTTAGATGCACCAACAGAAAGCTGATTTCACAAATGGTTTCTCCCCAGGTTTACTTTTTTCCTCTCCTTAGGCTCCCTAGAGGGAGTACATCAACCCCATTACTCAATCTCACAGGACTTTATGTTGACTGTGCTATTTAGTTCCAGTGCTTTGCTGGATGTATGGGGACAAATTTTGGGCTTGTATTTGTTGGAGGCACAAGTAATTATTGCTGGCAGTAGTGAAAGGCATCAGTCAAGAGACCCAGTGAGGGAACCTCTTGCTGCTGCTGCTTCTTCTGCTTCTTCTGCTTCTAAGAGAGCACAGTCTTAACTGACTTTAAGTAGCTCTGAGTCAAGTCTTCTCCCAGTGCCCTTCCTCCATCCCAACCTCAATTTGAATTGACCTAACAATTAACAAAAGTCTACTGGAAACCTGGGATTTTGTGGATTAATCCAGCATTTCTTTTGAGAGAATATTTTTTGTGCATTTTTTTCTTTTTCTTTTAAGCTACATTTGTCTTTTTAAAAATAAACAGAAGATTTTTGTTGTCTACAAATGATGTTTTAAATTGAGCTAGTTTTGTGAAAGTCCTGGAACTGACATATTTCCATCATATAAAAGATACGTGTTAGAGGTAATGTGATATAGAGGAAAGAACACTGGATTTGGAGTCACTACATGTGAAATCTTGGCAAGTCACTTTATTTCTTGGGACTCAGTTTCTTCATCTGCAAAATGAGAGGATTAGACTAAATGAGCTGAGGTCTCTTCCAACTGTAATCTTCAATCCAATGTATGATCTAAAAGCAGATCCAATTTGTGTTTGATATCACATTATTCAACTTTAACCCTTGCTGTGTGACTTAAAAACACTAAATCTGGTCACCATAGCTTTCTTTTCCTACCTCATCAGGCCACTGAAAAAAATTCCAAGAATTTATAGTCCTGAGGCTGGTGAATGACATAATTTCCTGTTCCTTTTATCTTAAATAATAATAATTAAAGATGTATGTGTGTTTGTGTGTGTGTGTGTGTGTGTGTGTGTGTGTGTGTGTGTGTGAATGAGAGAGAGAACAAAAATTAAATAGAACATAATCTTTCAAATCCAGGAATTTGCCATCTGAAATAGACCACATTTAATAGGCATTTAGATCTTAAATCATATAACATATGTATAGCACTTTACATATCTTAAAGTGCTATATAAATGCTAACTATTATAACTGTTATTGTTATTTAAACCAGAGAGTGGTACAGATTTTGCTGTGTGGTGCAATTAAACATTTACATTTGGTGTCCGTATTTTCTTTGTCCTGAGTGAGGCATCATTCTTGGGAGGGATCAATTATTATTTCATATCTACTCAGTAAAGATTTCAGTGATGGGAAAGAGATGAAATAAATTGTTAGGTTCCCAGTGGTGATGAGTTTTGATATTAATTACCACATTTAGTATTCTATTTTGTAGGCGTTATTGGAGATTAATAGAGTGAGCATCAGAATTCCATTACAAGTCTAAATGATCAAATTTTATTCTTTATTTTATTCAGCATTGGCCTTGAGGCATGTCAATAATAAACAATAATGGCTAGATTTTGAAAACCAGAAACTCAGATCACCTCAAATGATCAAATGGTCAGCTTTGAGTAAATCTGCTGCTTTTGAAAATCAAAGATCTCAGTGATCTTGGTTGAGTGAAGAGGAATGCTTGGGGCCACTCTAGAATTGGAAAATATACATTTGGAGAGCATAATTAATATATACATGTCTGTGTTTTTCTAAAGACAGCATAGAAGCCAATGTAGAAAATGCTGAGGTACATATCCAGCAGGCAAACCAGCAGCTATCAAGGGCTGCGGATTATCAGGTAATGATGCAAATTCACATATCTCTATCTGTTATCATTTCCAATATTAACCTTTCTAATTATATTTTTTGTTTCCTTTTTTTTTTAAAGCAAAAATCTTAAAGAAGGGTTTTTTGTTTTTTGGGTTTTTTTTTGGAGATTTAGAGTTTAATGGAATAGAAAAGAGCCTGGAAAAAGGACTGGTCAGTTTCCTAACTCATTTCTTTTCATGCCATCAGCATGCCTGCAAACTGTAGGCATAGTTATTAACAGTAGGAGACTGATTGAAATACAAAGCTGAATTGCCTTCGTAACTTAAGGCAAGGGTAGCTCATTTAACTATAGCAAATACAGGTGGCACTCCACTATTCCCTGTCAATAAACCACCTTCATTTCTCTTTCTCCACTTTCCTTTCTCTCCCCTTCCTTCTTTCTACATTTACTTTTGCTCTACCTCCTTTTTTGTCTGTTTCCTTGGGCCTGATAGTGACCCTCACTGTGTTATTTAATAGCCTGAGGGACCAAAGAGATAATGTCATTCTCTGTCCTAGAGTTATTCCTCTAGATTATTCAGAAAGCATACTGGCAGACAGATGGGTAGGTAAATTCTGCAGTACCCAAACAAGTATTATTAGTTTGGTCAGTGAATGGTGGATATTTTATTAGTTCATCTTTAACACCCCCTCCCCCTTAAAAAAATTACTGTTATGTTGATTCTAGAGTCCCTGAGAGGGTGTAATCAAAGGTGGAAGAATAGAACTTCATGAAACGTTGGAATTTAGGGACTTGAATTCTGTCCATACATATGTAAAGAGCTGTTTTGTAACCTGAGAGATTTGGTCCTAAAGAATTATAAAAAGTAGCTGGAGAGAAGGCAATACTTGTTTGATTGGAGGTTTTCTCATTTAAGATTCTGCATCTGGTACTATGCCTCACTCAAAGACCTAGGGCTCAAGCTAACAGTCCTTTAATTTAAAAACAAACAAACATACTCTATTGCCCTCAAGTAAAAATAATTCTTTAGGTGGAAAATATTAGGAAAATATTCTCTATCAGGAAGATAATTTTTTTTTTTAGGATTTTAGAGAGGTGACTATGGTGGATTGAACCTAGGAGGGAGAAGGCTTATTTTTCTTTCTTTCTTTTTTTTAATTAGATCCCTGATTTTAAACCTATGCTGCTGTGAAAGTTATTATCAGATGATTTGGAAGTTGCTGTAAATCTTTATTAGAATAGTAGCCAAGGACTTTCCCTATTAAAATTAGGAATATAATAGAAACCTGTTCACATAGTCATGGAGCTTAGTACAAGTTTAGGATCTGAAAGAGAGAAACTGAGACTAAATGAAGGCAAGTTTAGGACCATTATCTCCTAAAATACTTGTGTTTATTCACATAGGCTCATCATTTCTATGATCTTAGCAAGTGATAGAATTTTATAAAAGACCGTAACAGAATTTTGGAAATGTCACTGAATCTGATACATGTGGTTCTTTTAGGGGCAGGGGAGAAGAGAGGAGTAATTGTGTCTCTGGAATTCTGAAAGTCCTTATAGTTTAACGGCTTATTATTGGCCTTTGTGGCATCCCTATTCCCTTTGGAGTACGTTAACAAATCTTTCTATTCCTTTTAAAAATAATAAAAATGACTTCTCCATATTGTTATATTTAAAGACAGAAGAAATGTGAAAATCTGTTTTTTGAGTCCAGATTGAAGAAATGGGACATAATTCCTAACCCATGGACATGGGAAAGGGTAACCCCATAATGTCCTGTTCTGTCTGATGTATCATCGAGGAATTTTTTGTTTTACACTTTATTTTGGGGTTGCAACTTTTAACTTAGTTTTTATGTTGTTGATAGGAGGGATGTTGACAAACATGTTATAATTACATTAGGAAAAAAATGATAAATTTTGACAATATAGTTCTTTGCTCTTGGGCCAGAATTCAGATCCCTGGGTCCCCATGATTCACTATGGTTCTATCATTCCATTCTTCTCTCTGCCCTTTCTGGAAATGCTAATTTTTTAAGGAAAGGCACTTTTCCCCAAGTAATTTCTTAAGAACATTAAATTTTAAAATTTAACAAGAAATCTTATAATGGTATTTAATGACAACACTTAATTTTTTATTTTCCCTTTTTCAAATGAACTTATCAGAAACATAGCAAAATACAAAGGTGGACAAAATTGATTGTACGTGAAACCATAAGCTTTTATTATATACATAGTTTTTATAAAAATATGCATTACATTTAATGAGACAGTAATAAAATTATCTTGTCACCTTCTGAATTTTTTCTTCCATGATTTTTTTTACATTTTATTGATATCTTTTTTCTCTGCAGCTCTATCACTTCCTACTAATCCACTTCCTGACCCCAAATAGAAACCCTCTCTTGTAACAAGCATAGTCAAGCAACACACTGACAAATTGGCCATGTCTAAAACTGTATGTCTTGCTCTGTACTCTTAGTCTATCACATCTCTGCCAAAAGATGGGAGAAATGCTTCATTACGCATCTTCGGAAATAAAGTTAAGATTACTCACTACATTGATTGGAATTTTGAAGATTTTCAATGTTGCTTTCCTTTACATGCCTAATCTGTTCCATTGATCTACTTTTCTATTTTTGAGCCAGTATCAACTAATTCTCATGATTATTTCATTAAAATATAGTTTGAAATCTGATCTTATTAGGTCCCCATCATTTCTACTTTTTTTTTTCCATTTCTTCCCCTAGAGATTCTTGATCTTTTTTTCTTTCAGATGAATTTGGTTATTATATCTAGTTCTCAAAAGTAACTCCTTATTGGCACAACCCTAAATCTGTAACTTAAATAACTTCATTATCTTTTATTATATTGACATGGTCTAGCCATGCAGTTAACATTTTCCTTTTAAGTCTTCCTTTACTTCTATAATTTTTGTAGTTCTATTCATGTAAGTCCTAAATCTGCCTTGATAGATTGATTTCCTAGGTATTTTATAGATTTTGTAGTTACTTTGAATAGAATTTCTTTTGTATTTCTGTTTCTATTTCCCCTTCCTGCATTTTGTTAGAAATATACAATATACAAAAATATTCAATATACAAAAAAGCTACTGATTTTTATGGGACTCATGTCCTACTACTTTACTACTTTAGTACTTTACTACTACTACTTTACTAAAGTTATTATTTCAGTTATTTTTTTTATTCCTTGTCTAGAATTCTCTAAGTACACTATTGTGTTTCAGATGACAGTAATTTTGTTTCTTCTTTACCTATGCTTATTCCTTTTATCTTATCACTATAGTTAATATTTCTATAACCAGAGCAAATATAATACCGATGATGGGCACTCTTCCTTTCTATGCCTGATTTGGGAGGGTGTCTAGTATTTTTACATTACAGGTAACATTAGTTTGGAGTCTAATATTTATCACATTAAGCAAATATCTATTCCTATGCTTTTTAACCAATACCCAAATTTAGGAATGCAAATAATTTCAACACAATTATGAAGTTTATGGACTCCATTCAAATGTTTTCTAAACTTTTTTTTTTAATTTTAAGTGCACTCAGTCCAGTCTCTACCTAGAAGTTCCTTAAATTTGAAGAAATTGTTGCAGTTAAGAATTAGAAACTTGATTATAATTTTAATTGAAGCATAGTTTTTTTGATAAAACAATAGCAATACAGAAATTGAAGGGAATTGTTCAAAATCATGTTTGAAAATATAAAAACTAATGGTTGTCTTTTCTCCAAATAAGACAGGATTGACATCTGAGATTTATTTTTCTATTAGTTATAATATAAGGACTATATGCTAGGTTTACAAAGATAAACCACAAGATGACTGTTTTCATCTCTTGTTTTTTTGTTTTTTCTACCTGCAGCGCAAGTCCCGAAAAACTCTGTGCATCATCATTTTTATTGTTGTCATTGGATTGGTGATTCTTGGAGTCATCATTTGGGGATTGCAAAGAAATTAAAAGGAGGGCAGTGTTGCACTACATCACCTAAATTATGTAGGAATTTTCCTCTAATTGTAGTTTTTATCACTGTATAGCTGTTGAGTAAATTATGGTTTCCATATCTTGTCATTTTTATTTGAGGGAAAGTTTCCTTTGGTTTAAATACAATATTTTCTAATATTGAAATGTTTTCTAAATTTTTCTGCTGTTGTCATATTCTTCAATTCAGCAATTACTGAATTTTTGTCCATATTCAAATTTGCTATCAGCCCATTATTTAAGTTGTTGACTGTTAACTTAGATTTTGTTATTAAAAACTCTTGTGTCATGTGAGCATCTCTATTGCTGTACATACTTGTACCTAACTTTCTGTTGGCCCAAGGAAAATACCTGATTTCAGTTTGGGCTAGTGGAGGAAATATTGTCAAACAACTTAAAAAATTGGTTAACAGATCTGTGTGCTGCTTAGTTCTTGACAAAGATGCCAACATACTCTTTCTTAGATGATTCATTCTTTTGATACCTATATCAACCCAGAAAAACAACATGTGGACACGTTCTTAATTTGTCTCATACTTCTGATATGTATTTATTAAGCATTTGCTGTAGCGTGCCTGGTAAATACCTCTACAGTGAAGAGTGGTGGTGATTGCATAGGCTGTATTTAGCTCTTAACTCTATTTGGAGAAGTATAGTCTTTGTAAATGTTTCCTGTGCATTTGGAGAAAAAAAATAAATGCTATAGCTGATAATTTTTGGATTCCAGAGAGCTTAACTGATTGCTGAATGACTACACTGAAAACAGAAACCCAAGTTTTTTGGTGGGTTCTTACTTATCTTCCCTAATATCTGACTGGGAAGTGACATGTTCATGGATCAAAATTGCCATTGTTAACTAACACACTGGCTAGTTCGCTCTGCTTTCGTTGTTTTGCTCTTTCTCATTTGTGCCATTTTGTACCATCCTTCATTAGAATGGGGAGTGAGTGTTTTGCCAGTGAACCCACTAGCGTTTTTAATCAATGTTGTTTTAGTGCAATTATCTGGAATATTGTAAAGTGGATTCTTTCTATTTTGATTCTGTATTTTATAATGTTCTTGTACAGCAGTTTAATAGTGAATGCGCTGTTTACATGGCAAACTATGAGACTTTAATTGGAAATGAATAAAATTATCTAATTTAGTGAAATGTAACTATGCAGCCAAAATAAAGATAATTTAAATTGTCTTGGATTCAGCTTCTTGAATCTTTTACTCTTTAAAAATAAAATGGATGCAGTAGAACATTCCTATTTTATAGAAATTCTACTTACAGGCTCAGTTTACCTGAAAATCTTTTTTTAAAAAATACATGGTCAAACCCTTTCACTGTTTTGAATTAATTAAAGGTAAAGGTAAAGGTAAAGTGTAAAACTTGACAACTGGGAAGATAATTTCAAGTATAGGACTTCTTAAAAATACAGTTTTCCAAAAAATAAAATAACTCAAATCACCCATTGTTATCAAAGAGGTTCCACTGTACGTGCTTTACTAAATAAGACCAATTTGTCCCCAGAAATGAATTGTGTACACATCTCCCTTTCAGCCTTATTTTGGAAAGCTCCCCTTTTCCCACACTCTGTATTACCCAAACTAGACTCCTTGTCATTTCCTCCTGCTCTCTTCCAGTCCATATGTTTGTGCACATTCTCTCCCATGCTTGATGTATATATACGTGTATGTATATTCCTACTCTGATCTCTTTGAGGTCAGAGGCTGTCTATTTTTTTCTTTAATCTTTGTATTCCCAGTGCTTCGCACAGTACCCTGGGCATTTAATATTTTTTCCCCAGAATTGAATAAATACAATTAAAATATTTAAAAGTAATTTTTCTTAGGGTAAATATTTTCATCTCAAATCTTTTTTTACATTAATTTGCTTAGCAAATACTTTGTAGAAGATAGATCAAATACTAGCAAATACAAATATTAGCAAATACTTTGTAGAAGATAGACCTAGCCTAGATAGACAAAATTCTAAATCAGAGGGCTTCTGAATAATGAGGTTTTATTTATATTTTTAACTTATCTATTTGAAAACATATGGATGATTGTCTTTCCCTCACTTAATTGACATAAACTTCCATATACTCCAACAGTGTGCCCTCACAATCATCCCCCCTCTCTTCCATCTCTGTTTGTTGGTTTCCTCATGCCTATAGACACACCAATCTTCCTTCATCATTCTTGAAAAGATAGTCCCTACCATCCCCTCAAACTAGTGTTCACTCGGTTTCCCTCCTTTCTCAAACTCCTAGAGCAAAAATTGTGTACACTTTGCTTTCTTTTCTTCCTCTCCTCTCACTTATCCACACTATGCAATCTGGCTTCTGAGTTCATCACTCAACTGAAAGTTCTCACTTCAAAGGTACCAGAGGTCTCTTGGTTGCCAAATCCAATGGCTTTTTTTCCTCAATTCTCAATTCCTCCTGACCTCTCAGCCACCGATGACCACTCTCTTCCTGGATACTTTTCTATATTTTCAAGACTGCTTACTCTTGGTTCTCCTCTTAACTGTTTGACTCCTCTTCCTCAGTTTCTTTGATCATCATATTTATCACACTGCCTAATTAGGGCTGTGCCCTAGGGCTCTAGCTTGATTCCTTTTTATTATTTCTCTATACTATTTCACTTGGTAACCTCATCAACTCCTATGGATTTAGTCCATTCTTTGACGATGACATATACTGGGATATACATATGTATGGGTATGTACACACACACACACTTATACACATATACATACATATACATACACATATACAGTTTCTCTCCTAAGCTCTATTTCTATACCACCAACTGCCCACTAGACATTTTGAAATGGATATTTCATAGGTACTTCAAACTCAGCACATTTAAAAAAAGAACTTGGTATCATTCCCTCAAAACTTTTCTGAATTTCATTATTACTTTCACTTTTCTAAACTTCATTATTACTTTCGAGGGCACCACCATATTTCCATTGACATATAACCCTTTCTTTCCACCCACATAGCCATCACCCTAGTTCATATTCTCATTATCTTTTGCCTGAACTATTACAATCTTCTAATTGGTCTCCCTGCCTCAGATCTCTCCCCACTTTAATCCAGCTCCACACATCCACCAAAATGATTTTTCCCAAAGAACAGAACATATCATTCCCTTAATCAATAAACTGCAGTAGCTCCCTCTTGGACCTGAGAGCAAATATAAGTGCATGCATTTAGCTTTTAAAGCACTTCAAACCTAGACCCAACCCTCCTTTCTAGCCTTATTGTGCATTATTCCCATTCATTCAGACTTGTGGTCTCTGAGGTTTTGACTATTACGAGCTAAAAAGAGAGCATGATACTACTTTTTTTTTGTATTGTTAAAAGTTCTAAACTTAGTAATATAAATAAAAGTTCAAAATTTAAACATTCCTGTAATATTATAAACTCCACATTATTTGAATTATATTTAAAGTGAATATTTTAATTTTAAGAAAATGTTAACAAAATGCTCTCTTCGCATCTGGGTACAGATGCTCTTCTTGATAGCTCCCTTCTCTGCTTCATCAAAGTTATACCTTTTCCCCTCCTACCTTTGCTGTAGCTTCTGGGCAACTAAACTACAAGAAAAGATGCCTCCAAGACTTGATGCCTAAGTGCCCTAGGAGTACTTCTAGTTCTGGATAGGACCTCCTGGGAGAACAGCTATCACATGATGTGGAAAGAAGTATTACTTTGGAATCAGAGGATCATAGAATCAAAAATTTAGAACTGGAAGGAAACTTTGACCTCAATGTAGTCCAGCGGTAAGAAACCTGTATGTGGTTCTTTAGGTCCTCAAGTGCGGCCCTTTGACTGAATCCAAACTTCACAGAACAAATCCCCTTAATAAAAGGATTTGCTCTGTAAAACTTGGACTCTGTCAAAAGGCCTCACCCAAGGACCTAGAGGACCACGTGTGGCCTCAAGATTGTAGGTTCCCCATCCCTGGTCTAGTCCAATCCACTTATTTTGTAGATACAGAAAGTGAGAACAGAAGGTTTAAATCCAAGGTCATACAGAAAGTGGCAGAATAGGACTCCAACTCTATTATACCTTGAGTACTTGGGTTCAAAGTTCTCTGAGTACTTTTGCACTTTTGGGCCAATCCCTACTGTGCAAATATTGGGTGATCTTGAGAAAGCCCTTCAACCTGTATAGTTCTCAGTTTTCTCATTGGTGAAATGAGAAAGCAGAGCTGGTGATCTCTAAGGTGTCTTCTATTTTGGAGGCCTATAATTCACCCACACAATCACAATCACCAACATAGAAATCTTCCAGGTTTGCAGAGCATTTGAACCTTACAACAACCCTATGAAGCAGGGCATATTATTAAATTAATCATTTCATGGATTAGAAAATTCAGAAAAGTTAAGTGACTTTCTCCTATTTATACAGCTATTAAGTGTTAGAAACTGGTTTTGAATACATGAAGTGTGGAAATCCTAACGTAGCTGCCTTGATTCTCTGCCCTTCCAACTTTGACTAATTAAATATAGTCTTGTGTTTCATAATTGCTTTGTGTATACCACTCCTTTCTCCCAGAAATCTTTTCATCATACAGAATTAGTTTTCAAAGACTATATAGTTTGAGATTTGCTGTTGTTATTCTTCTTAATGTCCTCTTTCCATACTTTGTAATTGTATTATCTGTGACAAAATCCCTGATGGTGTCTTAGCTATGTGGCCAAAACTAAGATATATTCTCTACTTTGAGATCCAAATCAAAACTCAATTTTAGACTTAAGACAAATATTTATGCTTTGAGTTTAGGGTTAGCATGGAGAGTAGAAGGGTTAGTGGGACATGATAGCAGTCTTCTAGTATTTAAAGATTGCTTATCATTTGGAAGATGGATTAGACTTATTTTTCTTGGGCCCTGAGGGCAGAAGTAGAACTATGTGTGAAAAGTACAAAAAGGCAAATGTAGACTTGAAACCAGGAAAAACTTCCTCACCATTAGAATGATACAAAAGTAGAATGAGGTGCCTTTGGAGGAAATGGGTTCCCCCCTCTCTGTAGTCTTTAAAACAAAGACTGGGATGATTACATGGGAAAATTCTGTACAGGGGATTGGGTTCAAGTATGCATTGGCTTAGTTAGGTGGCCTCTGAGGTCCATTCCAACTCAGTTTTTGTAATTCTGTGAATCAAAAGCCCCTTCGCAAGGTAAATTCATTGCCATGAAGCATTGAGAACTGAGGCTTGTTTAGGTGAAAGGTTTTTTCCTTTGTATACCTCTTTCTAGAAAAAGTTTTAATTCTCTGCATTTGTTGTTGTTTGGTCTTTTTTTCCATTAGGTCCAATTCTTCATGACCCCATTTGGGGTTTTCTTGGCAAAGATACTGGAGTGCTTTGTCATTTCCTTCTCCAGTTCATTTTACAGATGAGGAAACTGAGGCAAATGGGGTTAAGTGACTTGCCCAGAGTCACACAGTGACTACCACCTTGATGCCCCAATTCCTTGCATACAACAAATCCAAATGTAGGTGTTCCTTTGACTTGAATAACTCTCCCCAAAATGGTAATTTGCCTGTAAAGTCTGGGTCCTACTAACTCCAACAACTGACCCACCACTAGGACCATAACTTGATCATATTTTCACCATAGGAAAAAAGAGTTGAGGAAGTGGGGCATGAAGAACAATCTGAATAAGATAGAGTTCCTCTAAAGAATGGGTGATGGTGGGGTGTCCTGCCCCTA